GGTAATCACACACAACAAATAAATATATCGATTATGTTTTTATATCAATCTTCGTTCAGCTCTGAACACGTGTCGTGCGTTGGTTGAGATGTCGATGAATAAGAGGTTGGGGCCTTTTTATATATATAACCAGCAAAAACATCAGGGGTTTTATTAGAAAAGAAAAATACGATGTCGATCAAAACGGAAACGTAGACGCACGTGTGCCGTGCCTACCATTTCTGGATGCCGTCCAAAACGCATATTTCACGGGTCGGCCGTACTACAGCTCAGTGTTCAGCTAGATGTCGGTGAGGCCAAAAGCAGTCTCTTCCAATAGTGGCAGCAGTAATTCTACTTTTGCAAAATACGAGCTATAAGAGTCTTACCTCATACTTGAAACTAAACATTTGAGAGAAATCTCTCTGGTTGGGGAATACAATAATTAAAATATGGCAACCAACCAATTCCAAAACATGTAGGAGCCCTACGTTTCGAACCGACTCGGTTCTTCGTCAGGGGCGACTGTGGCCGTTGAGGAGCGACGTTTTTCGATCTTCTTTTTCTTTTCTCAGGGATGTGGCGCATTTCTCGATCTTCTTCTTTCATGAATATGGCGAAGCCCGTTCACATACACTGTTGGTAATGCACCAAGGCACCTATTTATGTTGCCTGGCGTCGTTTGAATATGCCAGGACTCGACGAAAAGCCTATGTCGGTTGTTAGTCTCTGCGTCGATAATGCTGGTGTTGTCGAAGTCAATCCGGTGGTCTTTGACTTCGCAGTGCTCGGCGACTGCGCTGCGCTCGTGGTCGAGCTTGCGAACGTCGTTTTTGTGTTGGCGTATTCTTTCATTGAAATTCTTTGTCTCGCCGATGTAAGTGGCTGGACAATCTGCACAAGGGATCTTATAAACCACGCCCTGCGTTTTTTCTTTCGGAGGGCGATCTTTTGGACGGGGCATGAGTAATCCAAGCGTGGACATCGGCTTGTGGGCTACGCGGATTCCTTCTTTGGCTAGCACGCGTGCAAGCGCCTCGCTTGTTCCTCTGATGTAGGGTACGCAGATGCGCGAGGTTGGGCGTGGCTGCGTACAGGCTTGTGGTTGCTGTTGTCTTTGACCTCGAGCTTGACGACGGGCAACGCGTTGGATGAAGGTGCTCGTGTATCCATTCTTTTTCAGATCAGCACGGACGGTTTTTTCTTCCTTTCTTCTGTCATCTTCAGAGGAGCATATAGCCTTCGTCCTAGACAGCAGTGTCCTAACCACCGATGCTTTGTGGCAGGCTGGGTGATAGGAATCAAACTGGAGATAACGTCCAGTGTGCGTGGGCTTCCTGTAGACTGAAAACTTCAAATTTTCTTTTTCTTTTCTCACGAGCACGTCCAAAAAAGGCAATGAATTGTCTTTTTCAAGTTCCGCTGTAAATTGGATAGCCGGTTCGATGGAGTTGAGGTGTGAGAGGAATCTGTCCACTTCAGATCTTTGAAGGATGCAGAAGCAGTCGTCCACATACCGCACAAATATCTTGGGCGCAGTGGCGAATGACTGCAGGGCCTCTTCCTCAATGGCTTCCATGCACAGGTTAGCCGTGGTAACGGAGACAGATGCGCCCATGGCGGTTCCGCTGGCTTGTTTAAAATACTCTCCCTTGACGCTAAAGTAGGTGTTGCTGAGGCAGAACTCAAGGAGGCGGCACAGTTCCTGCGGCACAGCGTCAAGGGAGAGTATTTTAAACAAGCCAGCGGAACCGCCATGGGCGCATCTGTCTCCGTTACCACGGCTAACCTGTGCATGGAAGCCATTGAGGAAGAGGCCCTGCAGTCATTCGCCACTGCGCCCAAGATATTTGTGCGGTATGTGGACGACTGCTTCTGCATCCTTCAAAGATCTGAAGTGGACAGATTCCTCTCACACCTCAACTCCATCGAACCGGCTATCCAATTTACAGCGAAACTTGAAAAAGACAATTCATTGCCTTTTTTGGACGTGCTCGTGAGAAAAGAAAAAGAAAATTTGAAGTTTTCAGTCTACAGGAAGCCCACGCACACTGGACGTTATCTCCAGTTTGATTCCTATCACCCAGCCTGCCACAAAGCATCGGTGGTTAGGACACTGCTGTCTAGGACGAAGGCTATATGCTCCTCTGAAGATGACAGAAGAAAGGAAGAAAAAACCGTCCGTGCTGATCTGAAAAAGAATGGATACACGAGCACCTTCATCCAACGCGTTGCCCGTCGTCAAGCTCGAGGTCAAAGACAACAGCAACCACAAGCCTGTACGCAGCCACGCCCAACCTCGCGCATCTGCGTACCCTACATCAAAGGAACAAGCGAGGCGCTTGCACGCGTGCTAGCCAAAGAAGGAATCCGCGTAGCCCACAAGCCGATGTCCACGCTTGGATTACTCATGCCCCGTCCAAAAGATCGCCCTCCAAAAGAAAAAACGCAGGGCGTGGTTTATAAGATCCCTTGTGCAGATTGTCCAGCCACTTACATCGGCGAGACAAAGAATTTCAATGAAAGAATACGCCAACACAAAAACGACGTTCGCAAGCTCGACCACGAGCGCAGCGCAGTCGCCGAGCACTGCGAAGTCAAAGACCACCGGATTGACTTCGACAACACCGGCATTATCGACGCAGAGACTAACAACCGACATAGGCTTTTCGTCGAGTCCTGGCATATTCAAACGACGCCAGGAAACATAAATAGGTGCCTTGGTGCATTACCAACAGTGTATGTGAACGGGCTTCGCCATATTCATGAAAGAAGAAGATCGAGAAATGCGCCACATCCCTGAGAAAAGAAAAAGAAGATCGAAAAACGTCGCTCCTCAACGGCCACAGTCGCCCCTGACGAAGAACCGAGTCGGTTCGAAACGTAGGGCTCCTACATGTTTTGGAATTGGTTGGTTGCCATATTTTAATTACCTCATACTTGCACACCTGGAAGGTCTAAGCAAGCACCTCCATTCTGATGCCGATCATCCAAGAGCTAGGAGCGCGATCCTCATACCGCGGTACCACCATCGCCGGAAAGTTTCCATATATTAACGACAGCGCGTCCTGATATCGTGAAACAAACACACGACGCACGAAAAGGGTGAATGGGATGTAGGCAACCTGAATCTTTTAGAAGATTAGGGGGAAAGCCGCACAAAATCAAATAAACATTCGTATCTCCCAAAAGAATATAAGTGTTCTAATATCTTTTGAGCAGCATGCCAGTTAATGACACATCCTTTTCGGTCGATTTCTGTGTTGAAGTTTATTCAGTGTAAAACAGAGTGCCCCCTCCTATTGTGACCTTATGCAAACTTTCGTATAGTCACTATAACCGAAGAGGGCATTGTTAATCGTCTCTGGCTATTAGAAGGCGTGCAGGTGACGATCGTTTTGTGTCCTCTGTGCTTCTTCGAAAAGCGAAGTAGGAGGAAAGGGACGAAAAGTAAAGGCGCGCACAGATTCGATACACAAGCTCGCGTGTACTTTGGCATTTTTGTTTTGTCCTTGGAAGAAAACTAGTTGACCTCGGGAGTTTGCCTTATTTTGTTAGTACCGAGATGCTTCCCCCTTCGCCATGCGCGAGGAAGCTGACTAATTACAATTTGAAAAAAACCGAACACCCTAAAAAAATGGAATCGTGGTTTTAGGTGATAAAAGAAAGTTTTTCAGCATCTGAAGAACACTAGTTGACAGTGTAATTCCGGTAGGGTATTTCCCTTCGTTGTTAGTGTTTTATATTCCCGCTTTTCAACCCATGAATGAAAACGAAAATGTACCGAATTACAACCCGTCCCTTACGTAATGAAGTAAGGAAATCACTTTACAATTACTTCGTAAAACATGTAATTATTTCCTTAAACATTACTGATCAATGTAACGCATTACGAGTGATTTCGTTACTTGTAACGGGTTACGTAGAAGCCTGCTCGGAGGTATACCGACTCATCTTGGCCGCTGACGGGTCGACTGCTCGAGCGCCAGTTAGTTTTTAACTCGAAGTAAGAAGACAGTATGTATAAAGATTGAGTACGAGTCGGTGTTCCTGTGTGTCGCCGACTACTCCTGCAAGTGCAATCGATCCCATCGAGAGAAAACGCGAGCGAGCTGAAAAACACTGCCAATGTGCAGACACACACTTGGGACAATTAAGCTCTCAACATGGATTCCGGCGTGGTTTTGAGGTGCAATTACGTAGCTACCTATGCTCAGTTAGAAGCGGAACGTACCATGGCGTGTGTAAAAGTACAATAGAATAGCTTAAGTAGTCCTATTTCGGTTGATGAAAAACGCGTCATTGGTCAAAAGTAGAAGCCCGACAACAGCTACGTTTTTTTTCTTCGCCCTACAATTACACGCTATGCTATACTTAAATACGAGTGGTCTAGCGCACACCAGAGCTCTGGCGCACACCAGCTCGGAGCACGTGAAGCGAAAGCTCGCGCTGAAGAACCCAGGGATCCTGGGTTCAATCTTCATTCTTTCCCGTTTAGCTATGGATAAGCATCGTACCGGCGTGCGGTCCTGAAGGACCTGAAGGACACGGCGCTCCTAGAAATTCTTTAGGAGGCCACCTGCAGTTTAACACACCAGAACAAGGCACGGCTACCCAATTTACCGTTCCAGCTCATGATTACGAAACCTGCATTTCGGACACATCTTGTTCTACCAAGACAAAAAACGTCATTCCTTCAAAGGAACGTTCGTGCCGATATTAGCCCCGAAGCACTGCTACGAGCCACCGCAGCTTTAAGATATTTAGCTATTCGCCCTAAGACGGCTCCATATCAAACTTCGACAGGCTTTGCGTCTTAAGGCTTGGGTCGTCCTACGACTCGACACGCCGGCGATAACCAACCCCCCCCCCCCCCCCCCAATAAAAAAGAAAAAAAGAAAAAAGAACTTAATTTTTTCTTTATCCTTCCTTTTTCACCCAATCCTCTTCCCTATCGGCAGTGACATCTGCACACTAAGTGCACAAGCAATAGTCGATTAAAAAAATAAATATAATAAACATTGCTTTCACTCATTCGCATATTTATTTTTGTTCACTGTACACCACCAAACAAAAAACGACGATTCAACAATGAAGAGTTCACTTGATTGCACTATTCAACCGTTACATCGGTACAATTCGAACTACCTCACCTCTGATGGCCGCACAGCGCTGAGTGGCTTCGATTCTATAAACCACCGTGGTTTTGCTGACGTCAGCACGTATTATAGGTATGCAAGAGTTACCTATTCAAACGGTGCTTCACAGGCTAAGCTGAGTCGGGAACACCAAATGTTATTCATCAAATCATATTTTATCAGGTTTAAATGCACCAGTATCGCCATCGGGTCGACAGGCGCCCGATCAAATAGAAATAAATAGGCGTTATATAACCTCCTTCGGTACTTGCGAGTTCACTTAATGCAATTAATTTGGTAATCTACTGCAGGTCAAAGATATGCGAAACGTTGACGAAGAGTAGGAGTTATAAAGCCGGATCAACGCGAGAATGTGAAGGCCTAATAATTTACAAATTTTCAAAAAATAATAGCATAAAAATATATCTAAAAATCTATCATGATGATGCACGAGTATTAATAGCACACAAGGGCGAATATTAAAATAAACTGACGCGAGGGTTCTAAGCACTTGCCACCTCGTGCACCTGTCTATTTGCAGAAGATGGGCCGGTACTGAGATTCATTTGGCTCTCTAAAGATGAATGCACACAACGATACACGTGCTGATGTCTAGGAGGTTGGTGGGCCTTGCTTTTGTTACCATCGCAATGCAGCTTGCTTTGGCTGATTTCACCTAATATAAAAAAAATAATGCGCTGTTGCGCTCAGTTACAGTCCCTGAATTGCTCTACCTTCAAATGCGTCGCGCATTCAACGAATCCCGTTCACTGTATTGGCTATTGAAGTGTCTCTTTATGCTGGCTCGAAGGTGTGCACAGTGCTGTGCGGACATGACGGGCCTTGCGGCGCTTGGCGGTAGACTTCGCCTGTCCGCGGTAAACACACAGATGTGCCTCGTAATCCTTGTGACGCATGGGCACGTAGCCGCAGGGCTCGCAGAGGTCCTCGAACAACTCGTAGAAGGCCTTATACCCCCCTTGCAGCAGGTACACCTCCGGATGGCGCAGTTCCGGGTAGACGTCCATGTGAAGCTGTCGGTCTTCATGGCGCAGTAGACGGGCAAGCTTCGGGGCCCGCTCGGACGAGAACTCGCAGTGGAACACCAGAACGTGGCGTGTGTGTGAAGAACTTAGGCAGGTTTCATCGAGGAAGGCTCCCAAGAGATCCTGAGGCTCGAAGACGTTGACGGCCCCTTGCACGTGACCTCCGAGGTATTCGAATGGGTAGCGGCAGTCGATGACCGTGTAGTTGTCCACGACTGATTGGTACTTTCCTTGGATCAGATCGGCTAGAGTCGACGGCGTTATCATCTTGAGGTCATGTGCCGCGCCTTCTACAAGTGGCAGTGCGCACTTCTTGCTAAAGTTTCCGATCAAACTGGGATCCTTGTCTGCTTGCTTCAAGGCAGTATCGATGTCGGCCGCAGACAGGGACCGTGGCATACTGTCCACCTTGGGCGTGCATCGCGGCTCGTTGAAACTGATCACTTTCTTATTGCCGACGAAACTGGGCCTCAGTACCTGCATCCTGAGGGGACGGCTTGGTGATCCTGGACGTTTGAAGGAGCCTTTCAAAGCTGGACGTGGTAAGAATGGGCTCGAAAGATCCTCCCAATCGTGACTGCGGCCAAGAGCTGGGCTTGCCGACGACGACAAATCGTCTAGAGCTGCTTTTAGTGGACTGATGTGCAGCGGGGAACGAAAAAGCATGTCGAAGCTACTCGGTAGCTGCGGTTCCTTGTTCTCTATGCCGAGCTCAAAAAGGGGCATAAATCCGTCTCTGCTGCTCTCACTTACACAACCGCTGTCCGGAAACTCCTCCCAGGATGATGGTGCGGAAGAGGTACTGGAGGCCCCGCCACCGCCACTCCCAATCTTCTGACTCGAGGCTTTTATGCAACCAGAAACCTTAGGGCTGCCATCGCTTGACCGACTTCTGCATCGCCATTGCACTCTTTGTTCGGAAGTCTCGAGCCCTAAAGACGGCACTGGGCTAGGCTTGACGTGTGATCGCTGTTTCGACCTCCTTCCCCCTGGTTTTCCGAGGATGAAGTCTAGGCTTTTGCGACAGACTCTTTCCTTGGGTTGTCCAGTGCCATTTTCATGAGCATGAGAGGTCTCCCTTACCGCCTCGCTTGTTTTATCTGGAGGCTTGCCGTGCTCGTCTGATGTCGATTCGTGGGCGCCTGGCTCCGATGTGGTCTCGAGGAGTTGACGTCTGGAGCTGAAGGCACTTTCTTGAAGTGCAGCTGACTCTTCGAAGATCTGGGAACACTCTCTTTCGAAGAGCAGACCTGACTCGCTGTCGGTGGTGTGGCTCCCATCCGACCGACTGCTAGGGGTGAGATCCATGGCTTGCTTGGGCAGCTGGAACAGTATTGAGAACTTGTTATAGCACCAAAAATATTCATTGCCTAGAACAGTGGTTCTCAAATGGGGGTCCGCGGACCCTTGGGGATCCGCGAAGGCATTCTAGGGTTCCATAATCCCTGCCTCATCAGTAGAGCCCGGCAATAAATGTAGTCTTTTTTCAGATTGAGAAGAAACTTTCCAATTGTTTGGTGAGTCTTTTTAGTTTCTATGTTAATGAGAGAAGTCTACTTCACTCTAGGCCTCAGTTATATAGATTGATTAAATCATTATCATAACTAACCTATAGCTTTCCCCTCCCTTCACCACGAAGGGGGTCCTTCATCATTCCCGCCGATCCACAAGGGGTCTGCGAAGCATCAATGGTTGAGAACCACTGGCCTAGAAGACTGAAACGTGGTAGTGGGGATGTAGACTGACACCTTGCTTACAAACAGGTTATCATTTGTCCACACCGGGTTTAAGCGCTGCTAATCCGCTGAAACGAGATTCGTGTTAAGCGAAGCGTCTGCACCACGCCGACAACTGCTCAACCGCAGCGGGTGATGTCAGGGCAGCGTGCGGGTGTGTTCCGAGACCAGATATAATATCCCCGACTGTGTCGTATTTATAGCCAAATAACTTAATTTTAGCACACAGACCAGTGTCAGCGAGCGGGCGCATGGAAAATCCTCCAGAAATTATCCCCTTCTCTTCCGCAATCCACGAATAGTTCGAAATGTCAAGGAAACTGAAGTGGCATCTCCGCAAAACCACCGACCCCGAGCTCTTATAGCGTTCATCCGTAAAAACACACAATTTTATTTTGTAGTTGCGACGCTGAAATTACGAGCTTTTCGGATATCAACGGAAAGTTTACCGGCAAGTGTTTTTTTTTTTTTTTTTTCGGATTTATTTGAAAACACGAAACTCTAGTCTTAATGCCCCCCCCCCCCCCCCCCCCCTTACACGCCTGTCACTATGTCAGCTTGCCTGCCACGTATTCAAAATATAATTATTGAGCCGTTTTCTCACGATTGGGGCGACTATGACAGGCGCTCGTCGTGAAAAAAAGGTCGACTTGTTCGCTTACTTTTTTTTTCTGTCCCGTCCCCCGAAATTCCGAGCGTGGGCACCCCCCAAACGTCGAAGCAAGCGTGAGACCCTCCCAGAAAGCGGCTTTTGTGCTCCTTGTGAAGTTTTTCGGATCTCCCTCCCGAAGGACGAAGAAAGGCGTTCCACGCCACTTCTTTCCGCCCAGTGAAAAGAGGAAAAGAAAAAGAAAGCGCACGAAGGTCGGAGCGTCTAGGAGGCGGCTTCAAGTTTCACTGGCTCGAAATACGCTTCCCTACAACTCGCGTCCGTTCGAAGCTACAATCCCACGAACCTAATCAAGCAGTGCCAAAAGCTCCATCGTCACGATGATAGTTGTTTTCGTGGGTTTACTATCAGCGACCAAACCAATCGCGTGCAGAAAAGAAAAACAACAACACTAGATCACGGCACTCTGCGTACTTTGTTTATTTTAACGCACAGAGACAATAGTGAGTTTTTAGTATTGCGTATACGAGCGAACGCAAGCCCTCTGCGTTAGCGTTGCGGGTCCCACACTGCGCGTGCGCGGAGCCCAAACCGCGGTCTTGAATCGGCGCATGGCTACTTCGCGCATGCGCAGCGTGAAACTCACAACGCCAACGCAAACACATAGCGCTTGCGTTTGCTCCGTATACGCAATAGTAAACCTCACTAAGGAGGACTACGACGATACACATTTAATGCTGTTCGATTGGACCGGTCGCATACCGTAGCGTCTACTGCGGTCGGACATCAATTCCGACCGCAAGTAGTGTAGAGTAATTTTCAGCGAAGCCCGTGCGCTTACCTTCTCCGAGCTGTAACCCTGGCGACACTGGGACAGCATTTTCGGCGGCGTGGCACTAACCGAGCGGGAAAGGTCGCTGTCTGGACGTGGGGAGGGGAGATACCCCACATGCGCAGAGAACTAACCTGCCGGATGTGAAGAAAACCGGCTTCCCTCTACCCTGAACCCGACTGCGCGCTCTCCGTTCCTCCTCCGACCGACCTGTCCCGCTTTCGCCCGCTTCGAGATTCCCTACATATAGGGACTTTGACCCGCCCCGCGGTTTCCGCTGCCGGCGCGCGGCGTGGTGAACCCTTGAGGTCACGTGACACAAAGAATTCGAGACACTTTCAAAAGCTCCTGTCAAGCAGAAACGGCAGCCGGTGGAAAAACTCTCAACTTCGTGAAACGAAGTTGAGACGCAGTCCAGACGCAGCAGGCGCTACGATGCTGACGGGATCACTCGGGCAGCGCCGAAAGTGCACCGTCATGGTGTTCGTCATGTTTCCGTTCGTGTTACACCATCGCCGAACCAATCATAAACCAAAAAAAAAAAAGGCCGAGTGAGTTGAGTTCTTGACGCCACTCAATTGGTGCCATTACCTCGTGACTTAAGCTGAAACTAAGTATAATTATTAATTTCACAATGACAAATAAACCCGGGACTGGGGAAATTTAAAAAAGAAAGAAAACGAAAAATAACCCAGACTGTCTCAACTGAACTTTATGCAGAAACTTTGAGTTCTAAAATCACGCACCCATAATGACGAATGCTATGGGCTAGAAATTAGGACGATTAAATGGTTAAGATATTAAAAAAAAAATTACCCGATAAGCAGCTAACACCTACAAAGGGGTAATTTTTAAAATTTCCAAGTGTGAGCACAATAAAGGAACACTCAATTACCAGGAACATATCACTTCGAAATAAAGGAATAACAGCGTAGAAAGAAGCGAGCTGGTGGGTTAATTTTAATAAACCATCAGAGACCGAGAAAAAAGTAAAAAGAAGGTGGGAAAACACGCAGGGTGTGTTGCCGCTGTTGCGTTGTTCGTCCCCTTGTAATCGGCCTGTTTTTACACATATAATATTACTTTCGCTCATGCTGAAACCAGCACGAATAGTACTTCAGCGCTCTCCAGTTGATGTTGAAACCTGTCAATATGCACATGAACAAATATGCACATGAACAGAGTTAGACGAGACAGCCCTCCTGCTTCCAGATGAGGTCCTGTTTTGGCTCTGCTCCCTGCCGTCCCTGAAGTCACGGACAATCACTAGGTCTCAACAGGCCTCTGTACATCCTACTAACGGGAGATTTCTAATTCACGTGTTTACAAGAGACTTCTAAATCCAGACTGCATTAGGATGTAGAAAGAAGAATAGGAAGGGCCTTCTTCGTCATTTCAAGGTGAGTCGAATTGAATTTTTTTTTGACGTTAGTAGCAATTCAAAATTATGTAAACAGTAAAAAAAAAAAAAAAAAAAAAATCGGAGCTTGTTTTGTAGTGATTTTACTAGAATGCCGCCATTTGCGCAGTCCCAGAGAGATCCGTGGCCCTAAACTCGTCAAACACAAAGTTGGAGCCGAAAGTTCGCGCCGAGTGGACGTCGGTGAAAAAAGCGCGAAGTCATCGTCTTGTTATTGTCAATCGGCGCGCTCCGACAACTTCGGCACTAACTTTGTGTTTGACGAGTTTAGAGGCCCTGGACGGGATGAGGCCACTCTCATTCCCCGCACCAGAAGCATGACACACAACGAGAGACCACGATGACGATGCGATTATCTTTCGAAATGCTGCCCTCGGTCAGCAGCTCTCGAATCCCTGCACAATGACGGACTAACACCTCAACGTCACGGAATACAAAAAAAAAAAAAAAAGAAATAAATAAAATAAACACATTTAGAGAAAAAGTTCATGAGCGCAGTGACGTTGCACTTTCGACGATGTTTGAGTGGCTCGTCAACTCGTATGTTGGCCGTGCTCCAACGCTTCGTATAAGGAATGACCTGCACGTTCCTCGATGCAGTTGTACCGCCATTGTGCACTGGTTCCGACCTTCTTATAATCGGCACGTGACTTTCGAAAGAACCGTAGTAAAAAAGTCCTATTCCTCGCGAAGCATCATCAGTTCCACTTTATGTAGAGAATTTAGACATGTGTAGTGCACTTTACATAAGGCATATGTCATCTTATCGAGACGTAGCCGCTTCAAACGCTAAAAGCATCGCTTCTTTCTCCGCCAACCAAATCTTAGAACTACAGTCGCCGGCCATATGAGCTCCCCCGGCCGAACGCCAACCGGGTCAGCGAAAATCCCGCACGCGGCGCGTCGAACGTTGCCGAGTTTTGGGAACCGGGCTATTGAGACCAAACCATTCTGTTATCAAAGGGGTGGACGCATAGCTTTTACCGGGATTTCAGCCTTTAGAAGTGTGCATCACGAAAACATGGCCGATTAGAATTGCCGTCTTCAGGTGTTGGCCCCAAGTGTTCGGAGATGACGGTATAACTGCTGATAAACTGAAGCTTGCTTTATCCATAGATAAAGCAGCAGTGTTCGATCGATGCTTAAAAATGTGAAGACCCTATGTTTGATATGATAGGCATGACAACAATGACCCCTCGGCAAGCGAGAAGTGGCTGACCAGGAAGCCATCTGCGAAGTCATCGTGTAGATAATTACCCTTGGCGAAGCAACACGCTACTGAGCGCAAAACAAGAGTCTCTTCGATAAAATGCGTTCATGAAAAGTGCCTTAATCTTTATTCTGCTTCGACACAAATCTTTTTCTTTTTGTTATTTATAGCATATCCCTAAAGATTAAATAAATTATTTCAAAATCGCTCGTTATTGTCTAGTCTAGGTTTAAGAAATATTGTAAGAAAGTTTTTGCGTGGGATTACTCTTCGGGTAGGAAATATATAGAATGACAAACCGATTTTGCAAATAAAAAAAAGTAGCATACAACATGTCAGAGATATTATGCAGCGAAGAATTTTGATAAGCCGTCTGCGTTTTTACCTACAACTGGAAGCGGGATCGTAATCTGCCCGTGCTTCAGATTCACGTTCCAAAACGCGGAATGCTATTAAACTTCCTGCGTCCACCACTCTGATAAGAAAATGGTATGGTCCCAATAGCCCGGCTCCCAGAACGCGGCAACGCTCGACGCGCCGCATGCGGGATTTTCGCTGCTCCGGTCGGCGTTCGGCCGGGGGAGCTCATATGGCCGGCGACTGTACCTCGCACGGCGTACGAACAAAGCGCAAAACTTAAACATGACTGTAAACCTGAGACTGGGGCAGAAAAGCGAACACAACAGAAGGTAGTAAGTAAAAGAGGAGGCAACGTCTCATCACGCTTTCGTCCATACATCCTCGCACAGAGTGCTGGGGGTCGTGATTGGGACGTTGCCTCCTCTTTTACTACCTTCTGTTGCGTTCTCTTTTCTGCCGCTGTCTCAGGTTTACAATCATGTTCAACTTACAGCAGCTCGCCTGCACTCTGACTATTTTTTCCGCAAAACTTCCTTTTTCCTCGTGACGTCATCGTTTGTAGACCCCGACCCCCAGCACTCTGTGCGAGGATATATGGAGGAAAGCGTGATCAAGTGGCGAAGGATCGATGGCATGACTGGTCCAACGCGCTCGCAGCTTCCACTGCAGTGTCGGCGTAGAGGTAAACGGAGCGGGCGAAACGGACGATGCGTTCATCTGGCTTTCGCCGCGGGATAGTGCCAAGCTCTTCGCGAGATGCCGCAATACGCACTGGCGGCTGTGCTGACGCAAGCTAGGCAGCGTTGCGTGGTTCCACTAGCGATGACGTGTGCAGGAAAAAGGCCCACTCCTTCTCATAGCAGAACGGACGTTGGAGACGAGCGAATTCGGGCATCGCTGTGACAGAGAAAAACAAACAAAAGAAAAACTATCGTATGAATTGAAAGCTTGCCAAGCGTGCTGCCGCGCCGCTTGCGGCGGCGATTTCGGCGCGAAATTGCAGTATGTGAAACATGCCTTAACTCTATTAATTACGCATCGGCCGTCATTTTGTAAAAGTAAATTGTACAGTCTGGCCGACCTGTACAGTAGAAGTAATTTACAGTTCAGTGCGAGTACTGTACTCCAGTTCGATGAATTGTACAGTACAATCCTGTGATTTCGTCGTCACATTACAGCCACGGGATGCTTCCATGGTACGGGCTGTTGCGGCGCCGTGCTGTTCCCGAGCCAATAAAGATTGACTATACTACAAGCCATCGTGAGAGCGATGACACTGTCACTTTAACCTGATCACTGCTGCTGAAGAAACAAATAAAACCGCGACTTACCGAGCTCCCGACGCGAAGGCGACGAACAGGAGATTCTGAAGCCCCTTTATGGTCCACTTTACGCAGAAGGAACGTTGGACTGCGGCACGCCGATGGCAAAGGAAGAGGCAGCCGGCCGCTGCCACCGCAAGCACGCGTCTGCGCGTGACAAATGGTGCAACGCTCAGTGTTGTCAGCCCTCTTCTACGCTGCCGCCGTAGATTCCCAAATTGCCGGGTAAGTTGCCCGCTGCCCGAGTAACGCAAAACCGTGCCCGTGGCTGCGATATCGGACGACCGCAGGTGTGAACATAAATCGTGTTTGCAACTATTCAGGCATTATCCACGACCAGCGGAATAAAATGTCGCGTGACGTTAAAGGGCAACTCCGGTCCATACTTTCGATTTTGGGATTGTGGCTGTTTTAGTGCAGTTAGCGCCCCTGAGTTGCAAGGTATAATTTTTTTCTCGTTATTGTGCGTAGTTTTAAATATATCGACGTCTCAAAGTTGTGTTTGGGGCGCGGCCGACAAAACCGAAACTAGCCGCTCGAGGTTCCGGCGACACTGGAAATCAGCCGCTATGTGGACGTGACGCCAAGATCGTTCTCGTTCAGCGAGTACGCAGTCCAAGCGGCACCTACCTCTGTTGCGCTAGTCGTCTAAACATAGAATGTAAACTGATTTTGTTTTAATTCTGTATACCTGGTAGTTATCCAGCATATGTAGCAAGAGTTAGTGCGTATACCCAAAAGCTAGCGACTGGAAAACCCGACAACTCGTTCGGTGGCGTACTCGGCGGCCGCCGCCGCGCGTGCGCTATGCCGTGCCGTACTCCTTGCTTGTGTACCCAAAAGCTAGCGACTGGAAAACGAGTGAACTCGTTCGGTGCCGTACTCGGCAGCTGTCGGCGTGCGTGCGGTCTCCCGCACCCGTCTCTAAGCGTAAATTGTCATCGGGGCTCCGTGGATGGAGCGGCGTTGCTCTACGCCGCGCTGCCAGTGACGTACAGTGCTGGCGCTTTCGCGCGGCGGGTCAGTCCCAGACACGAAGCTTTGAGGCTCTCCGGCGCGTTCCGCAACAACCGAACAGACGTGTGTCTAGCTGCAGACGTCTGTTTTTTCGTTATTTTTTTCTCAGGCGCGTAAAAGCCGAATTTGTAAGCTACGACACTAATTCACCACATAAGTTCGTCCAGGTAGTGAATCTTTGTACCAATAAAAAAAACTTGCCGCACTAAAAAGAAAAAAAGTTCATTGGGCAGTTATTTTCTTCTCAAAGCTAGCAAAAGTTTTGTGGGTGATAAAGGAAAACAGAGAACGTTAGCAAGGTGAGAACATTTTCTTTCCCTTCCGCACTCCCACCCCCACCCACAATTTTTTTTATTAGAAGATATAGGATTTTAAGTTTTCCTTCGTAACTTTTGACTAAAACAAGTTTTTTTTTTTTTTTTTTTTTTTTTTTTTTTGCATTTTTAAATATTATATTTACCTCCAGCCGAACTCGGTCAAATTAGAGAGTTGTGACTTACAAATCCGAACTTTCGCGATTTCTTTTAAGTCCCTTGTGGTATTCACAAGCGCAATGTTAATTAATACTGCTGCGTAACGGGTTCGAACGATTGGGAGGCGAATGTTTATATCGCATGAGCTTCACGCGCCGGCCGTTCGCTAGTAGTCGTTACGGACCTGAATACTACGCACGAGATTGCGTAGTAAACAAGCAGTGACGCAAAGCAGAACATTGTTTTCGTTTTCATTACAAACTTCAGTGTTTGGAGCTAGTTAGTGGTTGTACTCTACATGTCCACCATTCCCCATGAATGCTCAATCTTCAACACTGCACTTGACAATGACTGTTTTATTTATTGATCAGGATACTCTTATCATGTTTACCTTTTCGGTACATGTACGATGGGCAAAGAGCGACGGCACGGCATCCTTTTTAAGCCTCGACCCCTTCGCTGACAAACCACAAACAACCAACACCCGTAGGTTTCGTTCGTAACTCTCCGGCGAAAAATGATCGGAGCAGAGCTTCGATCTGGGGGTCGACGCCCAAGGCTTTCCAAAGTCTACTCGTCGAACAGCGTTCACCCACACCTTCTCTAATTTCCGCTCCGTTGGAAACTTGTGAAAAAGCACCTCCGGGTTGCGCAGCGGCTTGTTTGAGCAGCCCACAGCGCTTTAAGTTGTACTCGGCATCTTTCGAGGAACAGCTGGGCAGTCTTGGACGCACCGAGTTGCTCGCTAAAACGAGTCTAGGAGACCTCGCAAGCAAATAAACAAAAGGCTATACGGAAGCTACACGGGCTACAAGTAAAAGCAACGGCTAAACACGCAATAACAAGCCGAAGTAGCGGTGGTAGCGGCACAAAGAAGCGCACGCGACGGCTACGCCGTGCTCCCGTCCGGAACGGAGGAAAAAAAGAGAACGATGTTGACATCACGGCCCAATGTTGCTTTAGCGATCGGCAACCCGCTGGCCGCCCGCTAAGGAGCAGCGGCTCGCGGCGGGTCGCGTTTTTAATATCGGCATTAGTTGAGAATGCGGCGTCGCACGGACGTGAAATTTTGGCTGGGGTCGTATTTTGTGTAACTAAAGCGATACCAGTAATTTAATTCATTTTGAGTTTTGGCCGGAGGTGCCCTTTAAGACAGAGTTGTGAAAGTAGTGCTGATGCTTGGCTAATCCGGCTAATCTCGTCCTTGCATAGCTCGCGCCAACAAATCAAGGACAACAACGTCAACGACAAGAACAACAATTATAACGTGGAAAGAAAAGCGCCAGTGTACGCATCATCTTCGGTAATGCGATTAGAACAAAACGTGTAAAATATTTGCTCAAGGATAAGCACACTCCGTGCGACGCGACCGGCGCGCCGCCGCGCGGCCGTCACCGAAGGTAGGCAGTGAGGGATCCATATCATATGAGCGAATGACATTTTAGCGAACAGAGACATTTGAGCGAATGGACGTTTTAGCGAATAACGGGGGCGCGCGTTAACCCATCCGCCGCGCTGCGCTTTAAGCGCTAAACACATGTATGACGAAACCGTCCGATCCGACGTCCGACCGCGCAATACGACGGTCGGAGGCGAGGGTTATCAACGCTCTCCGATGCTATGAAAACCCTCTCCCCCCAAGGTCATTCCGGCAGTCCGCACGTCGGATCGGACGGTTTCGTCGTACATGTGTTTCGCGCTTTACGCCGTTTCGCGGCGACAGTCTGCGGCGGCTCATTACAAAAATGTGAACCCATTTGGCTACCCGAAAACGCCGCTTCGCGGCGTCCGACTATTCGCTAAAGTGTCATTCGGTCAAACGTGGGCGTTCGCTAAAACGTCATTCGATCAAGTGAGTGCCTCCCGGCAGTGAGAGCCCCAGCGAAACGAAACCACGCACCACGCCGCGTACATTGGTACGCATAGAAGTCGGAGCGGTGCGGTTGCGATGGGTTGAGAGCATGAACTGCTGCGTCGTTAAGTGCTCCAATAGTTATACGTCGTATCTGGTGGGGACGAAGTTTCACAGTTTCTCACCTCGCCGATGTTTTGCGGGAAACGACAGCGATGGACCCGTGCCGTACGACGCGAGAAATTTGGTCTCCCGATCATGTCTGCCACTGTGTCGGCACGGCTGACATAGTCTACACCGCCGCTTTGCGCCCTGCGTTTGTTTTCGTACCAGTTGCGCCTACATATCTCAGCTCGTACTGAAATGCCACCCAACACTCGCGGGTATGCAGTGCGAATTTCGTGAAAGGAATGCCCTTCAAAGAAGTTTCGTCTCAATCGTACGTGTCGATGACATTTCCGGACCAGTATGGCACGCAGTCTGTACTTCATGAAGAAAGATTCGGACGGTACAAAAAGTGACAAATACGAATCTAAGAAAAACTACAATGAAACTTGGAATCACTGGACAATCGATGTTTGAGTATGAAAGTTTATGTGGTGTGCTTTCTTTTTTGATCAGTGTCTTTTCGTATGTAAAAACGCTGACAACCCGAGTCTTGTAAACAACAATATTTTTTCTCGGCTTTAGAGCAATCTATCGCAAAGTTGTTCGAACTGGAAGAAGTACCGTCCACTGGTCCCTTCCTACCTGTAAAGTGTGCACCTCCCATCCATGATAAGTGGTATTCTGTTGACAGCCTTTGACGGTCAAAACCGATACCCATTTACTTACGCCGCCCAAAAATATTTTAACCCGGGTAAACTATGCCACCTCTTTTAGGTATAATAAGTGTTTTGTCAAGTTAAAGTTGTCCAAGTACCTGTGTGCCGAAAATTAGCACCTCGCGCAACCAGATTACTACACAACAGCTGACCGCAAAAGCCTTTGACGGCCAAACCGTGTGTTGGCCGACAACTTGGTTTTCTCGGCTTTGAAGCCACCTTTCGTAAAGCTGTTTCAATTGGAAGTACAATGCACTAGTCCCTTCCTACCTGTAAAGTGTCCATCTCCCACGACGAGTGGTATTCTCTTGACAGCCCTTTCACGGTCAAAACCATTTCCCATTCAGTTACGTCGCCCAAACCAAATTCTCACCTGGTTTCCCTATGACACCTGTTTTTGGTATTATAACTGTTGTGTCAAGTTACAGTCATGTCCAAGAACCTGCGTGTCCAAATCTGCACTTCGCACAGCCCGGTTATAACACAACATTTTGGGTTCAATAGTGGATATTCCTGACAGCTTTATTCCTTCGAGCCATAATTTTCACACCTACTATCTTAATAAAACTTGGCCCACTTAGTGCACAAACTTAGTGAACATCTCACTCGCCTCCAATTATTATCGTCCCAGCAGTCCTACGTTTACAGCGACGAGCGAAACAAATTTCCCACTGAGAGCAATTATGGTGGCGGCCGTCTTGCTTTTCGGAAAATTGCTCAAACCCCTTTTTCGACTGCAACTAAAGAAATTACTCCTAATAACGACTCAAACTCAATATATAAGAAGCGGAGAACAGCTAAATGCCCTTCTTAAATCTGCCCCAGCACTTATGCCACGTCACCCTCATCTTATCGGCTCAAAAAGCAAAAGTTCCGTCCTTGCGCTCTTCCGCCGCCACAGCTTCGTGTCGAACGCGCTTCAGTGTCGAACGCCAGCTCCTCCGCTAGCGGCGCTACGCGCGTTTTTCAAAGCGCCCCCTATAGTTCCCACACGGAGCAAAGTATGAT